TTTCTGAGGGGGACAAGAGTGCCCGAGATGACAGACGGACCTGGCCCCAGGGCCAGTAGGCTGTGGCTGGAGCAGAGAGAGGATCGGAACGGTCCAGGATGTGGGAGGAAGGGGACACACTAGCCGGGCCTGGTGCCGTGTCCCCCACGGTCGGTCCCTGCCCTCCCCGGGGCATGTGACCCTTCAGTCAGCTCGGCCCCTCTGGGATACGCCTTGTCCCTCCCGCGGCCCCCGGAACCCTGCAAGGCGGCGTGACGGTGCTGAGGCCCACGTCAGGCTGGGCCCCTTGCTCTGCAGAGAGGGCGGCGAGCCTCACGGGAGCCCACCTCTGCCCGCAGGAGTTCATCGCCGTCAGCCAGCTCCGAGGCTCCACCCAGGGCAAGATCCTCTGCTTCTACGGTCCGCCTGGCGTGGGCAAGACCAGCATCGCCCGCTCCATCGCCCGTGCCCTGAACCGCGAGTACTTCCGCTTCAGCGTCGGCGGCATGACCGACGTGGCCGAGATCAAAGGGCACAGGTAGGCCCGGCCTCCTGTCGGGCTTCGTTCCCCCGCCCCGGCTCTCTTCCTGTGTGTTAGAGGGGGCGTCAGCGGTGCGCGGGGCCCTGTGCTTGCGCTGCGGTAACGTGACCGAGTGCAGCCGCTCGAACGTGGGCTCAAAGCCTTCGCCTTCAGCACCGGGAGGGCGGACCACCTCCAGCGCTTGTTCGCCAGGTCGTGGACAGATATCCCGGTGGGTCCAGCTCCCGTCCGCCCACTCCGTGCCCCCAGTGCTGCGGCCAGAGTTCCGGGGCCGCGTGCTCAGCCCCGGGACCGGGGACTGTGGGCCAGGGCGAGGGGCGAGGTGGTCGTCCCAGCGAGGACGGGGCGGCACACCGGTGAGGTCTCGGCACGGCTCTTGGTTCTTTGCTCCCTCGCCAGGCCCAGGCAGCGGCTGCCATCCTGGGTCCGGGGTGTCAGAACTGCCTGGCCGTGTGCATGGCACCTTCCGTCAGGGCGGTCAGGATGTCGTGTTCTCCCGGGGCCTCCCGCCACGCCAGCCCCTGCTGAGGGTGGTTCTCGGAGCAGTTTCTTTAGGGAGACGCAGGCGTAACAGGTGTACGAGTATCTCGGGAGCTCCAGGAGTTCAGAGCAGGCATCCGGAGTCCGGCAGGGCCTTGGGGGACGGGAGTGGATGAGGCCTTCGCGGTGCCGGGCGAGGAGTCAGTGAGGGCCTGTGGTGCAAGGGCGCCCGGGAGGCGTGGGGCCTTTGGGCCTGCCCCAAAGGCAGAGGGGCGGCTGTGCCGGCTCTTGGCTCGGGGCTGGAGTCTGAGCTGCGTGGGGGAGGCAGAGGCAGGCCCTGGTGGCCCCTTGGCCCCTGGTTCAGAAGGCCCAAGAGTGTGGACAAGGACCACTCACCCAGGCCGCGAAGGGGCCTTGGCTGAGGTTTCAAACAAGTATAGGTCTGTGACAAGCGGGGGTGAGTCACTGGGGGAAAGGGGCCCAGGAGGGCAGGCAGGTGTTCTCTATTGATGTCCGTCTGGGATTCCCAAACAAGGATGAGGAAGGGAACTTCTGCTGCTGTCCTTTAGTAACAGCAGCAAAATTTTCTCTGTCCACAGCTCTCCAGGGCTCCCTCCTCCCTCGGGGTAAAAGCCCAGATCCACACTGAGGCCTGGAAGGCCTAGCACACCCTGCCCTGTTTGTTCCCTTCCCTCTCTCCCCCTCACTCACTCTACTCTGAAAGCCATATGGGCTTCCAGCACTCTGGGCCTGGTCCTGCCCCTGCCCCAGGACCTTTGCACAGGCTGTTTTCTTACCCAGAAAACTTCCTTCGAATACTCACACAGTTTGCCTCTTCACTTATTTTGCTTTGGGCGTCTCCCCGAAGCGTCCTTTATCCCCGTCTTAGAGTAGTGTGCCTCTGAGATGGCATTGCAGGACCCCCATCCTTTTGTTGTCTTTGTAGTGTGGATAAAGTTTCTCTGCCTCGTGATTTCCTCCTCTACCTGGCCGACCATCTGTCTGCCCTGCCGGGCCTTAACCTCACAGACACAGGGCTCGTGTCTGCTTTATGCTCTGTGAGTGCCAGACACCCGCAGCTGAGCTGGGACAGGAGAGCAAGTAGATGGCCAAGAAACACCCGGCAAGCGCCAGCTGGGGCCAGGCCCTGGGCGCCGTGGCCCCGAGGCCTGGGAGGCCATGCTGCGCCTGCCATTGGGGAGGACCTGGGAGGGGGGACGTTTGCTGCCGGCACCTGGCTGCTCTTGACCTTCCCTGCTCTGTGAGGTGGGCACTGTGGGCTGGGTTTCACCATCTGGATAGGAGGTGCTGGCTGGGGGGATGGCCCTGAGAGGGACCTGGTTTCAAGTCTGTGTCTGTGCCTCGAGTTGGGGGGGGGGTGGGGGGGTAGGCGGGGCGGCCTTCCCATTGCTGGGGCGAACAGGTGGTTGGGGTGACCGTGCTCTGCCTCCACTGCGGCCCCTGGAGGGCACCTGGCTCGCCGAGGTCCTGTCTCTGAGCTGGGCCTGCGGGTGCCGGCGTGACCAGCCCCAGGCCGGTGAGGTGCCATCCGTTCCTGCTGTGCCCTGCCCCCCAGGCGGACGTATGTGGGCGCCATGCCGGGAAAGATCATCCAGTGCCTGAAGAAGACCAAGACGGAGAACCCCTTGATCCTGATAGACGAGGTGCGCACGGACGAAGGGCGGGGCACGGGGCCGGGCTCAGAGCTGACAGGGCAGCGTGGCCTCCGTTCCCGGTGCCCTTCCCCAGACGCTGTCCCTCGGGCCTTCCTGGGCCAGAGCTCCGGGCAATGCTGACCAGGTGGAGAGTGTCCCAGATCAAGCCTCGGGGGAACCCTTCTGCTTCCACTCTGGGCCGGCCCCGTCCCTCCCCCTGGGCGCAGTCCGGTCCCACCTGGCGCCCTCCCACCAGTGGCGTCTGGTCAGGAGACACGGGGAGCTGGACAAGGGGCCGAAGCCGTCTGCCGTCTGCTGTCCCTTCAGGTGGACAAGATCGGCCGGGGCTACCAGGGGGACCCCTCGTCAGCACTGCTGGAGCTGCTGGACCCTGAGCAGAATGCCAACTTCCTGGATCACTACCTGGACGTGCCCGTGGACTTGTCCAAGGTGTGTGTCCTGCAGGGGGCCTGGGCCCGGTGGGGGCGGCAGGTGCCAATCCTCCAGTACCTCCCTGCCGCCTCCCCAGGTGCTGTTCATCTGCACGGCCAATGTCACGGAGACCATTCCAGAGCCGCTGAGGGACCGGATGGAGATGATCAACGTGTCTGGCTACGTGGCCCAGGAGAAGCTGGCCATCGCAGAGGTGAGGCTGGGACCCCCGCCCAGCCCTGGACCAAAGCGGCAGCCCCGCTAAGTGCCCGCCACCTAACCAGAGGGGGGCGGACAGCCCACAGTGGCCCTGCTCGGAGAGGGGGTGGCCGGGATCTGCCTGCCTGTGCAGTGAGGTATCGCCGAGAGCAAGGCGGGGCCTGCTGTGAACCGTGTAACCGCACAGCTCTGACGCCAACGTGGCATTTCCCTGTGCCACCCCATCTTCCGGTGGGGTGTCCGGTAACCCCCGTCAGATCCTGGTCCTGCCTGGGCTCAGGTCAGACCCCGCAGGGGAAGGGCTGGGTGCCTCGGACTGCCCCACTTACATGCCAGTTGCACGTTCCAGGTCTTTCTTCTGGCCAGCTGGCTGTAAATCTGGAGTTCCCACGGCCTGCTCTTTGGGTTTGAGGATTTGCTAGGACAGCTCACAGAACCCTGGAGAGGTTTACTTAGGTACCGGGTTATTGGAAAGGATACAGCCAGGAAACCGCCAAAAAGGATACATCGAGCCAAGTAGGGGGCAGGGGCTTCTGTGCCCTCCCTGGATCGAGCCAAGTAGGGGGCAGGGGCTTCTGTGCCCTCCCTGGGTGCGCCACCCTCCCACACCACCCAGTGAGTCCGAATTCACCCGGCTCCCTTGCCTAGAGTGTTTACGGAGGCTGTTTTAGGTGCATCAAGTGAATCATTAGTCACTGGTGATGGACTCTACTCGCAGCCCGTCCCCTCTCCCTGGGGGTCAGGGGTGAGGCTGAAAGTCCCATCCCTCTACCCCCTTGGTTGGGTCCTCTGGCCCTCAACAGGGGCCACCTCACTGGCACGAGCTCGGGTGTGGCAGAAAGGGGCTGATAGATCCCAACAGCTGTCCTTCTCACCCTGTCACTCAGAAAACGACAGGGTCTGGGAAGCTCTTATATCAGCACCTGGGGTCCAAGACCAAGGACAGACTTCTTCTTTTAAAAATTTT